CTTCCAAGCCTGCCTTTATTCAGGGAAGAATCAGTATATATAGATAAATACTCGAACCCATCATTGGATCCTGAAATATCATAATTCAAAGAAGAAGGAGGTAAAAAAGAATATGTATAATTATACCATAGTACGCTTTTAGAACAGTCCCACTTTTCACTCGTGTCCTAACACACATACGCAACATAGTATTAAACGCTCGCTCTCACACTCAGACACACCATCGGGTAACAATGTTGTCAAGATTTATCTGCTTGGTATGATCTCAAAGTAGAATACACTTGTTCCACATAAACTCTACAAAAGAAGCCTCATTCATTGACAGTCTCGTTCATTGGATGGCGAAGTAATCGAAATGAATAGCGAATAAAAATACTACGCGTTGGACATTCTTGTTTAAGCCAGTAGCTTTTGTGTCCACCGAGCAAAAGAAAAAAGGTTTGATTGTTTAGCTGTGTACCTGAAAAGCTGACAGATACACATATATGTGTGTGTGTGTGTGTGTGTATATATATATATATATATAGAAGTAGAAGTAATCTTAAAGCGGATATGTGTCTATAATTATGAAAGTGGTCTAAGTCATCGACTTAAGAGAAACGATTTTATTATTTACTTCGTGTTGCATTCATTTATATTACGATAAAATATATTTATTTTCTACAAAACAGTGAAGAATTGAATCGTTAGATTGAATTTGTAGCTTTATCGCGATTAATTTTATAATTTATGACGTATTTAAAGGCCGAAGCTTTTAATATTTCAGATGCAAATACAAGTGACTTAGACCACTTTCATAATCATAGGCATATATAATATCGTCGAAAATAAGGAATTTAAATGTAGAAGTTGAAGAGATTCTTAGCATGAGATGTTGGGAAAGAAACGTTTCAATTTTAATTCATAAGCACAAATAATTATGATTATGGACATTGATAAACTCTGGATACTCTCACCTAACTTTTAAGACCAGAATGATCCTCCTATAATTCTTACTTTTTATATAATACTTCATTTTAGCCAAAAAACGTGGCTTTCTAGAAAAACTCGCATTTTTCGAAAACTCTAGGGTAACAGTTGAATTTCGATGAGGGATTCGTGTTGAGAAAAGTGAACTCTAGAAGAATCACCTTATGGATATTACAGGTTGTAATACAGTCAAAATTAAAATTTGTTGGACAGTGTAATCATTGTACAGTTGCAAGCCAGCAACGGTAACGACTAAACGATGTTTCAGCAAATAATGATCCATGCTTAGTAAAGTTCAAAGGTATCATCTTTCATCGCGTTAGTAATCGATCATTCAGCCCAATAGAAACGCAGACTAAACATGTTAAGTACGCTCGAACGAGAAACTCTATTACACCCACGATGGTATCCAGTCATTATAGATATCCAATAAATGCTCGTTTGTTTCGTTACGAACTAATAACGAAGTTTTTATCCCTGAAAATCTAAGTTCCAGACAGCTTTAAATATCGTAAAAAATTATATTATAAATTATTTAAAGAAAAGAAGAAAGAAAGGAAAATGTATAAAATAAAATAAAAACAGAGAGAATTTCACGATGAAAGAATGATGCAGTCGAGAAGTGAGGAATGTTGTGGCTGGTAATGATCGCGCACATTACGTGGAAATGCAGCTGCATCGAGGGTAATTCGAACTCATATCTGCATTTGCGATTGAACAAAGCCTTTATCTTTACATAATACATAGCTGCTGTTACGAAACGAACATTTGCTAAGCTATTTATCATTTAGCGTGGTTGAAAAGTCGTATTCTTCGATTTTGCTTTAACGATGCCATAATGTTTCTGAAGTATTATGTCGAAATTAAATTTCACGCTCATTCATAGTTTCGTATATCGTAAATAGCATACATTATATTTTTGAATTTCTATTTTTACGAATTTTTTAATAAGTTGTTAAAATATATCGAAACGTATATTTTATTTTTACAAAAATAAACAGAAGTACAATTTTCTCAAAAAAATAGGTAGGCAATGAGGATGCAGCGAGTGATCTTTAAAAAATATTTATTTTATTATATTAAGCGTTGAGATCAAAGTGAGAAGTATACCTTCACTGATTTACTAATTAAATTAGGAGTATTTATGCAAATGCATGGTTTTGTATGGAATATATAAATCAATGGAAAATGAAAAAAATTAGGAATAGAAATTAATTTTGGCATTAGAAGGTTTTAGAAATACTTTAATATTTTTCGTTTAGTATATCTGATAGAATATACATATATATTGCATAGGTATGTTTCATATGTAGTATATCTATGTCTGATAAGCTATCAATAACTTATCATTGGTGTAATATTTACAAGGAAATTTAACATTCTTTCATACTCGCTTTTAAAAGTTATTACGAGCCTTGAAATATTTAGATATATCATAGTCGCTCGTGATTAGACAATTCAAAATAAATTATGTAGTGACTGACGTCAAAAATTTGAAAATCATGCTTGGTAATTGCTGACGAAAGCATAGACGTAAATTTAAAATTATACGGACGAAAAGGCTGTGTTTGCCTTTGTAAATTATTACTAGGAATGCTTTTAATTCCAGGAAGACTATAACGAAAGAATAAAATATTTCCGTGTAACATCATGCGATGGACGATAATCCTTTTCGACATATGAATTAACTTTAATCCCTTGATACTTAATCACTTAACGTAACGTGACGTTGGTAATATTCGTTTTCAGTAAGTTGATTTCTCCCGTCTTCGGTAACACGGTTAACTTAACAAAAATCAAGTGTCATAATCTCCTTTTACAAGAACCTGATTTTTTGTTATTTTTACAATAACTAAATAACTGAAGATATTCGAGATGGTGATGTTACATGGTCCACCCTGTATATTAATCCACGCACATATATCTAATCTTGCCTTAATCCAAGCATAATACTAAAATATGAAATGAAAATACTATACTACTTTTATAGTGTTATTGAATGTACAATATCCTTCCATAATTAATTAATTTTAATATCCAGTGTCCACGTGTGTTTAAATATGTAAATACACCATCTTTTTCAGACAAAGAAATTATTATTATCTTTTTCGAACTTAAAATAAATTTATTTCTGTAAAGATTAACGACTCTGCCATGATTAACCCTTTACACTCCATTAACATTGCTTAAATATTGATAATAATCTGCAATATATTGCACTCGACTCTGTTTTCTTTGATAGAACTAGAAAAATTAACTAAGAAACTAGGAAAATACTAGAAAACTAGAAAAAACTAGGAAAATAACTAGGAGAAATAAATTCAGAAATATTTATTTTTCTTTTTCCAAAATAAAACTTTTGCTTTCTGAAAGAGCTTTCTGTCACCAAAGTGCGTTAAATTTATCAATCGAATGAAGGAGAAAATTGTAGAAGTGTCAAGCGTTAAATTACTAAATAAGTAAAATGAAACGATTAACATTTCGTAGACACACGTGTAATATATCCTTTACGCATTCCTCGCGTGTTGCTCGCATACTTCGACATATTATATCTGCATAAACATCCGCAACCTATTAATAATACAACGTATTTCGGTGAATGTGTTCATTACAGCGCGGATTTACAGCAGCGTTTTGTGCAGAGGGAAACTTCGCTGAGTATAACGCGGTTTTGAGTGCATAGTACCGAGTTCAATAATAATCTAGTTCAAAGGGATTTTAGAGGCGGTCTATATAGCCGAAAGTTCTTATGGGTGAGGTTGACATTAGCCTCTGAGAAACAATTATAAAAATAGGATCAAAGCTATAAATTTAGATTCTCAGGATAAAATTATAAAAATGACTAATCATATCCACGAACACACACATAAATCAACCATTCACAAGCCAGAATACTTAAAAACTCGATTTTACAATCTTTTTTTAAATTTTAAATTTTTAAATTAGAGCAGTTGATTGATACTTAGCCTTTGCATTTAGAGAAATATAAATTTAAAAAATTTTCTCAAATAGTGTCTGAAAGTCGTCTTTCAAGTGTAAAGGGTTAATTGTGTAGCAAATAATATACAAAATGATCTGCAATGATCTGGTTCAATTTTCATAGTCCACCTCTTATTCTACCGATATAATAGAAATTAAATCCAAGCCTGCAAATTGGTATTTAAAAATTCAAGAGTTTTCGAATATGACCAATTCGAGTTCTCATTGATTGAATTCGTCATACGAATTTTAATGTCATTCAGATCATTCTAATTCATACAAAACTCGCGTTAATTCTGATTTTCATAATACAATTTGGAAGAAAAATTTGTAATTCCTTAATACACTTAACAAGATAATCTCGGAGGATTATGCTCTTACCCTGTTACTATGTCAGCATATACCAAGAGAGCCCTGAAAGCTGAGATTTTAGAAATTAGGGGCGCAAAGTATGAACACAGACGGATCCTCAAAGTGTTAACTATTATCGTGAGATAACAACCATAACAACTCACTCTGCTGTTATGTCCACGTGTAAAAATAGTCTAAAAGTAGGGATTTGGGAATTAGGGACGCAAAACGTGAGCATAGATATTGATCTGAAGAGTTAAATATTAACATAAGATAAAAATCGCGACCACCTAATTTATCCTTACATCGTATCAGCATATGCCATCAAAAAGTAGGGCCTTTAAGAGATAGGGTTCACAAAATTGGAATCACTTGTTCCATGTCAAGAAACTTTGGATTTGTTATTTAAAATGCACATACAAAAAGATTTCTTTCTTTCCCTGTTATCTGGCAATTATTTTTTCATATTTATTTTTATTTTTATTTTTATTTTTATTCGCGTTAAATAGGGTACTTGATTATTTTATTCGTGGATTGGTCATTTCTCTGACTTGATAGACATAAGTATATATAAATCGTCAGTAGGTTAACGTTAAACACCACTGCATAGATATTCTTGTTGTAATATATACGAGCAGACAATATGATTAATTAATAATTCGAATTTAATCGTTACACTTGCATACTTCTTTCTGTTGCAGTGTGAGAAGCGTAATGCACAAATATCTGGAAAAGAAGAAGGAAGTTAACTTCGATAAAATATTCAATCAAATGTTTGGTGAGCAACTTTTAAATATACTTTGTTACGTTAGCTCTTCTCGATACAAATTAACACGGAAACAATGATCGTCGATGAATCAACAAAGAATTGACACCACTGTTTATTGACTCTTGAACACAAGCGTTCGTATAATTCACTTTTTCAAATTTTTATTCTCGTTTTACTATATTTTACTATATCGTATGTTTTATCTTCGACATTATTTCTTTTTCACGATATTAATTTGGTGAATAATTACAATGAAATGTATTATTTAGAACAATTAATATATATTAATCGAGGCCTTCGAGTGATCTTGAAATCGTCCAGAAACTTTGCAAACATCAATGCAATTGCTTTGCTTCTCAAAATGCAACAATTTTGGTTTTAAACATTTCTAACATATGTGAGTGTTTTAATTTCGATTCCACATCCTGTAAATAATCATCAAAATTCATCTTTTTAATTATAAATTAGTTTAATTTCATTAGTTATGGCTTGGTCTAATTATATTCATTTAGCATAATCTCGAAAAATCCCTTATTTTAAATATAGCACTCCCTTTAAATCTATGATTGTAAGGAAAAACACCTAACGATACAGGATTTTCATTTTCCGGATATTGCCGTTTAAAATTCGAATTCTCATTAACAGATAATCACATTGCATAATTCCTTTGAACCTCATCTTCTTATAAATATATAGAAAAGAAAGAAATTAATTAGGTCCCTTGACCAAATAAATGAAAAAGATTGCTTTTAAAATTGGGATATGCAACGTTTTGCATTAAAACCACAGAAATATCAATTTCAATCGAATACTCGTTTTGTCATCAAACGCTATTACCTAACATCCAAAGACTGGAAGACACACGATCTAAAATGGCTATTCACCGCTACAAGGACCAGCGAAAGATTTATTCGTGGGAAAAATTACGAACGTTTGTGTTCCAGAGTTAAAAGGCTCAATCCAACGACCTATGGAATTAGAGGATATGATTTAGCCTGGTAATCGATGTTATTTGCAATTAACGAAATCCGATTTAATTGGTGGGAAAGTAACGAAATCTCGTTCACACGGAAAATCTAAATTAATTGCGCAGATAGGTAGTAAAAACGTAACGAAATCCTTTAATCTGGATTAACTCCCGGACTCTTATCAAAGTAGCTTTGTCAGAATTATCCAGTCCTGGGTTAATAAGGATTCGGTGATCATAGCAAAATAAAAAGACAAGATAACAGAGCAGTCAGGCCCCGGATAATTTCTCCTGCTAATTAATCCTTTAACTACGACGAAATTCAAATTGGAGAATAAATCAGAAACGTTCGTCATATTTTGACCCTTTTCAAATATTTTTCTACATTTTCATCGTGTTTTACATTTTTATGTATTTTTACCTCGTCGTGTTTTTGTACAATATTTCGTGCAAGTAACGTGATATATAGGGTGTTGGGTAACTATTGATACAACTGGAGAAAGGCCGAGTTCGCAGGAAAAACAAATTGAAAATATGAAATGAAAGTTTTTCATACGAGACTCTGTTTTCGAAAAAATTGATTTTAAATATTTACGTGACATATGTACGTGTATACTCACTTTCTGGTTATACTAGTAATTACAGATGCCGTGTATATTGCTAAATACAATTTATTTTTTCTCACTTATTTAGTCTGGTGGGTTTAATAATTACATAATTATACTGGTAATTATGAAAGTGGTCCGTGTCAAAAATCTGGGAAAATGAATTTGTCACTTATTTCGTGGTACATCCATTTACATAATGATACAGTAGAATCTCCCTTATATGAACTAATTGAGAAACCAACCTGGTCGCATAGGAAAATTTTCAGCCAGTTTCATCCAATATTTAAAACAATATGAAATAGAGTAGATACAATTTGTTTGTAATAGCGTCATTCATAGACTACGACTACGAAAAAGGGAACAATATTGTTCGAACCTATTAATCCTTTGCACTCGAGAGACGACTCTCAGACGCCATTTAATCAAATTCTAAAGATCATTGTTGATTAATATCTCGAATTTAAAATTGCCCAACTACGCGTGGAATATCGAGGTAAAATAATTCTACGCCTTACAATTAATTTAAATTTCTTATTTGCCGTTTTGAAAATATCGTCAACTTTATGGCAGAAAGTCTTCGAATTACTGTTTCTATAACGAAAAGATCGTCCAGTGCAAAGGGTTAATGGTTGATTTTACAACGCTATACTTTTGTGTTAAATTTCTTCCACAATTGCTAAATTTCTCACGTTTAAATTCACGTTATGTGACATAATTATTATTTGTCCTCATCGTGTTACAATAACAATATTCAATTATACTGTCAATATTATAATATTATTATTGTTATTATTGCTATATGATATGTCATGTCAATTCCATACTAGTTTACTGCGAGCAAATTTTATGCTACAAGAGGAAATATACCCTCTGTATATTTATATGTTGTACTCGTGTCGCGTATTCACATAACGGGTGTTCATATAATTGAGAGTTTATCTTACGTACAGCCTGTCATAAACGTCGCTAACTTCGGATCCAGTAGGCAATTCTGAGTAAAAAATTCTGGTAAATGTATACTTGCTAATACCTCTTCGAAAAGTAATCGTCGATACTTCTGGTATTATGGTATTATGCACCATACTTTCTCCCAGGTCTGGGGAATTTTGATAAATAGCTAGGGGAAAGTTTGACAGAGTTCAACAAGTTTGAATCTCACGGATAGATAACGTGACATTCAAGAAGTATGATGCACCAAGTTTTTTAACAGCGAATTTTTAACTCCTTTGTTAGACAACGTTCGAACTATCTTATAAAATTTGATCGTGTAGACTCGTAGACTGTTGGCGTTAACCTTCTACAACACCATGTGACTTACATTAGATATAATCTGCCCTAGTACCTGCGTATGTTGAATTTTATTTCGATCACTTATCTTAGTCTATTACCGTATTTTATCGCTTTATCGCTGTATTGATACTAGATAAATAATTTACCAAACAGTTGTTGGTTTTTTGGTGAGAACTTTAGCGAGAACTTGGATTAAAGCGAGAAATCCTTAACAAAGAAAATTTTGATTAGGAGGATTTAGGAGGATTGAAGATTCGAGTAATAAAATTAGAGTAATTTAAATGTTTTTTAAGTAACGATTAGATGCATGACAGTCGTTATTAGTATCGTAATCTTTGTATATTTTTTCAACATTTTTGAATAAATTAGGGTTATGTTAGCAATGGAAAAATTACCGAGTGTGTATTTACTTGAATTTCGTACACAGAATTTTTTGTCTACCTAATTGTTTTATTTTTTTTATTTTATTTTATTATATTAGATTTTAAAAAGTTAATATTAATGATATCTTTTCAAATTGTTGATGACATAGCTAGCAATGTAATGAATCAGTAGTGAAATAATTGTAATTTTATCGATTTAATCGTTAAAATTAAAAACGACTGGAAGATTAAATTAAGTTGCACTGACTTTGTGATTCATTATACCATGTTTCTTACGTGCTGATCCAACATAACGAATTCCTTTCTAAATTATCCTTTATAGAGTAATAAAATTGTTCTTTATTAGGTAAATTCTTTTACCAAGAATTCACAAAATTTGATATTTCAAATTTAACTCTTTGCTACTGTTATTTTTACCTTCCCTCTCTCTTTTATTCTATGACTGATCAAAGATTTTAATTGCTTTTTAATTGTTAATTTGCAAAATTAAAATCTACAACATCCTTTAAACCCATAAATCTAAACGTAAGAATCAAGAGATATTAATAGCTGATTCATAAATAATTACCTCTGGAAATTATATTATCATTTTTTTTATTTATTATTTACCAAAACCAAATCATGTCTTGAATCTTATGCTATCAACGAAAGGTTGAAAGCATTAGTATTTTTCAAGATTTTTCACGTGTCTTCAATAAATCATAAATTACGTAAACATGAATGAGGTATAAAATAACTTAGATGATCTAATATTAGCTTTAATATCTTTTCTCGACAATGTATAAGTTTCTTCTTTCTTTCAGTAGCCTTAAAGTTTCTTAAAGTCATATTTTTAGTAAAGGTCTTTAAACTTACTTACATTCCTGTGTCACCTGCCTTTTTTTATTCACCAATTCCAAAAATAGAAACATGATAATTATTCTATCGGTATCTATTAATATTTTAATTAAAATAATATATTTAATTAAATTTATTCTTAATGTATTGGTTTTTTCTATATAAATAAGTTAGTATATTGTTATACAAAATACCGAGTCGAATCGATTGGTATAATAACAGAAACATATGATTTCATTTAAGAAAACTTAACTTTTAATTTAACTTTTACCTGTCTTTTATTCGTAGATTTATAGTAATACTAATTACATCCTGCAGTGATACTATTAAGGCCATTTAAGTTTTGTCTGAAACCAGTTCCAATATTAGGTAACTCACCTTGTATATAAGAAAATTTTCTGTCCCCCGATATTAGTATAATATCATTCCTATGCAAGTGCAAAATTGAGATTTACAGTTTTTACCATTCTACATATTACCATACGAGTGTATTTTACATTATAAGTATTACAACCATATATAAATATATTTTACGTTATTATAACAAAAAATATCACAACCATAGTCATTTATAATTGCAATTAATTTTCTTGTGTCTCGGTTTTGTTATTTATGATCACGATTAAATAATAATTGCTGTAAAATATCCAATTACTGATTTAATTATGCTCCCCAGTCTATATAAATGCGCATTCCGTAGTTAAGGGATTAATTCGAAAGGAAGTTAGGATTATCGTCTTCTTTCTTCAGAAAAATCGTACTTAAGGCCCAAATGATGAGATTTCCGCATTAGTTTAAGATTTTCACGTTAAGAACGAACATAATGCAGTCAAGATCGATTCGAAAGAACTATAAAAATGATTGAAATAGTGGTAGACTTCATATCCAAAACTGAATTTAGTTTTTCAACCTAATCTAATTATA